GCCCAGTGGCATAGTGGTTAAAGTTCACACACTCCACTTCAGTGGCCCGGGGCTCGCAGGTTCAGATCCTGGGCACGGACCTATGCACCACTCATTAAGCCGTGCTGTGGTGGCATCCCATATACAAAATAGAGGAAGATGGGCACAGATGTTAGCTCAGAGCTGATCTTCCTCAGCAAAAAGAGGAAGATTGGCAATGGCTATTAGCTCAGGGTGAATCTTCCTCACCCAAAATAAATAAATAAATAAAAAAGTGACAGTCCCTTGCTCAGTTCCCAGACCTGAGCCAAATTTCAGTTTCAGAACCAATAGTCTGGAGAGGTAGGTGCCCATGTCCCTCAGAGGAAGGATCCTACAACATTGTAGCAGGCATATAAGGCTTACCCTAGTCCCTCCCCAAAGGAACCTATGGCCATTTATTTGGGTGACTATACATTGGGGAAAGGGGAGTACCCAGATATTTTTAGGACTATTGGACGTAGCTTTCTGAGTAGACATTAATACCCAGACACTCAAAGCATCAGCATGGCTCTCCTGTTGGGAGTAGGGGCTTATTGGGTCCAGGTAATGGAGTCCTGGCTTAAATCTGACTCACAGTGGCCCATTGCATCTGCAGACCTGCCCAGTGGTCATTTCCCCAGTCTCCAAGTGTATAATTGGAATTTATATACTTAGCAGTTGGACTAATCTCCATATTGGGTCCTTGGACTGTGTGGTAAAAGCTTTCATAGAGGGGAAAACCAAGTGGAAGCCTCTGCTTCCTCTCTCCCCCACCAACCAAGATGATAAATTGAAAACAATATTGCACCCTAGGGGGTGATGGAGATTAGTGCCACCATTAAAGACTTAAAGGATGCAGGGGATAATGGGTGGTGGTCCTTATATTTATGTTTAATTCATCATTCTGGCCCTTGCAGAAACCAGTTGGATCCTGGAGAATGAGTTTAAACTACCACAAACTCAACCACACAAAGTTTTACTTGACAAAAGAGAAATACAGCACCTTGTGGACCTCTTTGGGATCTGGAGGTAACATATTCCACACCTAGAGATACTTCTCTGGCCCATATACCGAGTGACACAGAAGGCTGCCAGCTTTGAATGGGGCCTAGGGTAGCAAAGACTCTGTAGCAAGCCCAGGCTATAGTGCAAGCAGCCTTGTTGCTTGGACCATATGATCTTGCTGACCCTATGGTGTCGAAGGTGTCAGTGGTGGGATGATGCAGTGTGAGAATCAGGTCCCTGGGATTTTGGAGGAAGGCCATGGAATCTGCAACAGAGAAGTATACTGCTTTTGAGAAGCCACTCCTGGTGAAGTACCGGATGCTGTTAGTCACCATAAAACCCATTTTGTCATGCTGCTTCAGTCCATTTACTGAATAACCCACAAAACTGCCAATTTTCAGTGTGGTACAGAGCAAGAATACACTTGGAAATAGGTCTGGTCTACCATGCAGTTTCTTCATATGGTGCTTGAAATGTCTGTGGGAGACAGAAATGATGTATGGAGCCTTGGAAGGACCCTGCTTGTGAGTCACAGTACAGTCTGTTAGAATTTTGGAGCATAGCAATACCATCTTCTGCAGATAAACATTCTTTGGAGAAAAAGTTTCTACCTTGCTATTGACCCTAATTGAGGGTCTTCCCTTTGCCCTTTCTGAGTCTTCCTCTTCAAAGTTAATAACTATCCTTAATTCTAATACCAGAGAGAAGGAGAATTCCATAGATTAGATGGTATGTTTGTGACCCTGGAAAAACAAACAAGGAAAAAAAGAGCAATTAGAAACTCCAGGAAAATAAAAAACTAGGAAAAAAAGTAAATACTTATTGGAAATAATTTGTATTTTCTTATGAATTTCCTCATTTTATATTTTTTTGTTCATATTATTCAGTTATTTTAAAGACTATGACTTGTAACTCCTATGTCTGAATTACCTGTGGGGCTGCTTCTACTGTTCACTTTTTTCTTAGTTTTGACTCTGGCTGTGCCTAGCAATTTTTGATTGAATACCACTATGCATGAGAAACTGTAGAAGCTCTAGATGAGCTTTAGTTTCTGACAGGCAATTATAGAAGGGCAAATTACCTTAATTCAGTTAGCTAGTGAGCTAATTCAAGGTGAGGTATCAATCTTTTAAAGATCTGGTCTATATTTACTTCCCCCTAATTCCTAGACTTCCCCCTAAGTCCTTCAGAGGGTCCAACTGAAAGTCTGTGGTATTTACCAAGGCCCATCATCACTGGTGAGATCTGAACTCCAAGTTTAATCCCCGTGGCACATAATTCTGCTGAAAGCTCTGCCTAGGACCTCAGGCACTTGGCTGCTGTGTATCTCCGAATCTGTCCCATGCCAGTTGCCAATCGGTGAGCTCTTTGCAGGAAAAAGCTCAGTCTATTGGGCTTATTTCTCTTCACATTTGTCTCCAAGATCTTGCCACTCAAGTCCTACTGTCTTAGCTCAGAGCTCCCTCAGGTCCTAGAAGCCAGCTGCAGTTCTTTGGCACATGAGCTTTCTCAAATGGCTGCTTACTTCATCAGGCCAGCAAGGAAAATTCCTCTGCAGGCTGCTAAGATGGAGTCTTACATAACAGAACATGATCATGGGAGCGACATCCCACCACCTTTGCCATAATCTATTGGCTAGCAGCAAGTCTCAGTCCTGCGAACACTCAAGGGGAGAGGATTATATAGGGCACAAATCATTGGGGTCACCTAGGGTGTGCCTGATACAACTGCTGACAATAAGACAAGAAGAGAGGGAATATGAGCATTCAGTAACGCTCACAAATATCACTGTGAAAAGAGCTTTCTATCTGATGTCAGAAGTAAGTTTTGTCTCATTACTTCTGTTACTTTATTTTTTTTTTTTTGAGGAGACCAGCCCTGTGCTAACATAGGTCAATCTTCCTCTTTTTCTGCTGAGGAAGACTGGCCCTGGGCTAACATCCATGCCCATCTTCCTCCACTTTATATGGGATGCCGCCACAGCATGGCTTGACAAGCAGTGCGTTGGTGCACGCCCGAGATCCAAACCGGCGAACCCTGGGCCGCTGCAGTAGAGCACATGCACTTAACCGCTTACGCCACTGGGCTGGCCCCACATCTGGTACTTTTGACCATTTACCACATCTCTTCTCAACTGTAAAATTTGTTAGCTGATAATTTATGTCACAAGATTTGGTGGTTATAGAGTAAAAAACTATGGAGATGCTTTTATTTTCATCAAAAAAATCACATACAGATATTAAAATCACAGGATATCCATTGTCAAGATGCAAAATATATACTCAAAATCATAGACAACCATATGGAAAAAGAATAGGTAATATGTATACATATGTGAAAATGGGGTCATTTTAACAAGAGAATGATTTCATAAATTAAAGACAAAGCTGAATGGAAAAAAAGGATGGGAAGACAGAAACAAGTATGCACAAGATTACTTTAAACTATTTTATTGGTAGTTTCTGGAGACTACATTCAAAAAATTAAAAAATCATCAATAATCCCAATGCCCAAATGATAATTTGCTTAATAATTTGGTGTATTTCCTTCCTAGCCTTTTGTTCTATGTGCCTACCTACACACACACACCTAAAATAGATATAAATATAATACAAATATATATGCATATATATGTGCACATAATTTTACTCATCATAAAATTGCTATATTTCTACCACCCAGAATCACTGATATAATGGTGCATATCCTTATTCTATGTATATTTTCACAATGTAAATCATGTGGTATGTTGTTTTATAATCTGTTTTTTCACATAACAGATTACCATGAACATTTCCCCAAATCCTCAAACATAATAAAGAAAATTCTTTTTTTTTTTTTTTTTTAAGATTTTATTTATTTTACTTTTCCCCCCAAAGCCCCAGTGGATAGTTGTATGTCGT